TCTTCCTGACCAGCAAAATCAGTTGTGTTTAAAATAAAGGATATCAGCTCCTTGTTATATATTTTTAAATGTTAGATCTATAAATTTAAATTGGTATAAAAGTATAAAATAATTCATATTCCTCAGCCAAACTTCATTTTAGGATAATATGAAATTCATTACAAAAATGGGGGTTAGGATTGTGCTTGTATAGTTATGAAATTTTCAACTGTTTGTCTTGAAACTGTTGAAAATATTATTGCTACATTGATCATTGGAAAAATATGCTCACTTTAGATTTCTGTTGTTCTCTTTCTATATTTTACTTCCTTTTCAAACTTACACATATCACCTATGTATGAAGCATTAATTTTGCTTGGAATCACTGCAGTTTTATAAGCAAAACCTCAGATGGAAGGTGTTTTCATTTCCTGAAGCAGTTGATGCAACTGAATGGTTCATTTAACCAGATATATTTATCTAGGACCTGTGCAAAAAAACCTTCTATTTTTTGCCACAATAGCTGTAGCAACCACCATGTATACCTTTCACATCCAACTACATTGAATACCAAGTAATTGCTTCCCAGTAAAGACACCATTTTTTAAATAGTCAAGTGTGTTTATTACATATCTCAGTGGAGCCGAGGAGGACCCACTGAAGAATGGAAAACAGAAGATTTAAATAACTACATGTTGCAGATGCTGCACATGGCAGCACAAGACTATCCTCATAACTAAGTCCTTGTCTGCCTACATTTATGCAAGAAGCTGTTAAGTCCTTCCAGAGCTCTGAATAGAATCAGTACTCACAGTTGTGGCATCCTTCTCCCTGGGATAAAGAAGGCTTGAACTTCAGTCTTCGCTTGTCTGACAATGAAGAGACGAAATGCTGCTGCAGAGTGTTGGTCAGGCCTGTTACTTTGGTAAAAAAAATTTGAGCAGTCTTGTTTTTTCCATTTTTCATCATGGGCTTCTTAAATTGTCTCTCTACTCCTAGTTATGGTTGGTTGCTTGAAGGGGGTGGCAGCTCCCTTTTTTCCCAAAGTGACCTTGTTGGGAGATTGTGTATCAGCACAACTCCTTTTCCTGGGAAAGAAAATGGATGGAAGCAGCAACTCCTGCTTCTCCTGGTAGCTGATGTTCTTACCTGGTTGATGACAGCTCTGCCACACCACTGGCACGTGTTTGTCAGGCTGTGCACTGCTTTAATAGGCATGTGAAGGAGGCTAGGACAAGGATTTTTGTTGTGTTGAGGTACATATTAATATAAATACAGCATAGAAGAAAACATAGAGGGGCTTGAAACATTGGTTTGACAATGGTGCAAACTGGAAGAGAAAAAAGAGTGGAGGCATATTGAGATAGGACTACTGAAGGAAGGCATGCCAAACCAGAGGTAGACTGCCCAGACAACACTGATGCACAGTCACTAAAATACAAATCCAGTATCCTTCACGAGCCCATCCTCCAGTCCATTCCAATGCACCTTCATAGCTTTTGTTGTGCTGCATAAATTAAGGGTGATAAGGATATGCTAAGATCACATGTTTTCATTTTGCTGTTTAAAGGCAAGGTATGATTAAGATGGGTCTGAAGTGATAGATGGGAAAGAGCCGGGGGGATACAAGGGTAACACAAGGCTGGTGAGCTGGTAGGATTTTAGCATTTTCAGTGAATTTTGAGTAAAGATGGGAACAGAACTAAACTCACTGTGGACAGAAATGAAAGGCAACAATGATGAAGATGGAAAGTGATCGTCACAGAGTAGAGAGATGATGCTCAGGTAATGATGAAGAAGAGCAGTAGAGTCATGAGTCCAGGACTTCACGTCAAATGCTGAGTCAGGAGGGAGGAGATAAGATACTTTCAGAACAGATACAGGCTTCTGTGTTAAAAAGCGTTTTGAATGGTGCAGTTTTTATCCTTTGTATCCCTTAGTACTTCAGCTGTGTTCCCTAAGCAGGAATATCTTTATGGAAGCAGGGAGATTTACACATAAAGTAGAGGACAAAAACACAAAAGACCAACTTCTCGTTTGCAGGACAGTGTTTGCAGCACAGGTATTAATTTGGAGCTGGACATGGGCAGCACATATTTATTTGATGTCTAAAGAATTGATCTGTCCTAAATATGGAAATGGCTATGAGCAACAATCCTTCCTTCTCTTCTTACAATTATCATTACTTTCTATGTTTATTTTTCTTTGTCTGACTTTTTTTGGGTTGGTGTTTTGGGTTTTTTTTTTTGGTGCTAGCAATTTTTCTGGAGCAGCAAAACTTTCAACTTTCTGTTATGCTCTCTCAGTGGTTACATTGTTGCTAGGTTCAAGAGTATATCCAGCATCAAAATTCAGAAACAGAAGGATAAGGTACTAGCATTTGTCAGAACCTTTTTATTTCTTCAGCTGTTTTTAGAATTGTGGAGATAGAAAAGGTTTAAATGAGGATGGCTGACAAAAGAGACTTCCTGAGATCTTTAAATGATGCTGCAGAGAAGACTTCACCAACTGAAAAGACCATATTTCCCGGAGTAGAGAAAAATGGTTGGGAGTGGTTGTTCAACTGTTATGTAAAAAGAAAAGTATATACATAACACTACACCCATGAGGGGAAAAAACCCGCCACAAAACTCTGAAAAATATTGTAATGCATTATGATAACAAAACATCATTTAAAAAAAGTATATAAGAAATAAGCATACTATCACCATGTCTATAGTTCATACACATTGCACCAGTCAAACCAAAATGATCTAATAACTACCATTCTTAGTTTTAGCTTAAGGCAAACATGAAGTAAAATGCATGAAGCTAAGAGTATCAGCTCAGCTAATCCACAGTAATTTACTGAGTTGTTAGATAGTATTAACACATATAGATGTGTTAATTTAACAAGACAAACTTTATTTCCATAAAATGGAAAGCTTGTTTGAACTGCCTTTTGGTTTAAATATTTTTTTTTATTATTGTAATAAAAAATACTCATAGGAAAGTAAAACTGTTTACTTGCAGCAACAACCCCTTTTATTTTAATATTTTGAGTTTTATAGATCACAATAAGATATCCTCCTATTGTGTGATACAAAAAAAAATTTATGCTTACTGTTTGTGGTATAGTGGACTAGGCTATTATTTACCCTGGCTATATAAAGAATTTAATTAATTGTAATCAAACATTTCAGTGATAATATTTTGACTGGGTTTGAATTAATTTTGTTTATATTTTTATAGATGTAATTTGACCCTGTTCCCCCAGTATACATATACTTTGTCACTTACAGTAGTGTTTTTTGTTTAAGGGTATAACTAGCTATTAGACAACATGTTACTAAAGGAGTTTCCAAGATCATGTAAATGTTTCCATTCTCACTTTGCTTGACTTCCTCAATTTTCCCAAGTTTTTATGTTTCTCCCTCCTTTTTCTGTGGCACAATTAGGTACTTTTTAAAGAAAGTAAGGATGTGCATGCAATGTCTTCTCCAGTTAAGTTCTTTCAGTCAAGACTTCACTAGAAAAATTGTAAAATGAATTTTGCTGTGTACTTGTCTAGGAAAGACCAGACCAACTCTGTGTTTCAGTGGGATTTAGGCACTTAAATATATTGCAACTTTAAAACCCAAGACTTCAGCATTTTTCTGTGAGACCAATATAGTTCATTCAAAGCTAAATTAATACTTAGATTTGCCCTTATGTATTTACTTACACAATACCTCCATTAGCAAATATTTATAAATATACATAAATGTGTGTGCATCTATATGCATTTCTTTTAGCAAGTCTTTCATTCTTCCTTTATTTTATAATGGATGCATGGATGCATCCATTTTAAGCATGGATTTGACAAATGTCTTGACATGATACACCTAAGAAAGTGTGATGAGCTAGGACTTGGAAAGGTTAAGGAAAAAAAACAATGCTAAAGCATATGAATTTGTATAGAAATACTGATCTGGAAATGAACTCAGCGCATGCTACGAACTCATGTAACTGAAGGATGACTCAATGACTTAATGACTGCAGAGGACAGAGGACTGATTTTTTGCAGCCAATGTGTGTTAACAAACAATTGAACTAAAAACGAGTGTTGTAAAATACATTGTAAATATAATGCACGAAAAAAGTCGTCAAATACCTGAAACCCTTCTTCTCACGTCATTCCTAAATCACACTTGCAGAAGTCAGGTTTTCTGTATTTTTAATTATGCAAATTATGTCCTATATATTCTAAATAGCTCATACAGATTAGCTTATTTTTTATGTAAGTCTTTAGGTTTTCTCTTTTCCTACCTATTTATACTTTAGGAAAATACATTGAATTCCTTACACTTTTTCAATAGATCAGCCACATTTTTACACAGAAAAACCTAACCATGAACAACACAAGACGTTTAAGAAGGAACTGGGATTTGTTTTGAAACAGAATTTGGAAGATAACAGTTTAAATAGATAATGAAACTATGATTTTATGCACGGTTATTGAGTTCTTAAGTCAGAGGACATTCACGTTTACTAAATTGTGGCTTTTCAGCCTATAATAATTCCTTAATAACATAACCTCTCAGGTTTGATTTTGGTGTTGGTTACTAATATTTGTAGTTTGAATTACGAATATAACTTTATCTTGCATAAGTGAGTGGTTTATATCTATGTCTATAAAATTGGAACCTGGCCACAACGTTTGTATAACAGATAAAAATCTGATGATCAATCATACTGAAGCAAACTTCCTAAAAACTTCCATGTAAATAAATTAGTTAAGAGAACAGAACTGAGCATATAGGTTATCACCAACCTTTTAACTGAAATTGGGTGATCAACTTTATGCATTATGAATTCATTTAAATCTTAAAAAAATTAATGTATTTTGCTTTGCAGTAAGTGAGATATGAGAGAAAGTTGATTCTCTGCTGTATCTGGGTTTCAAGTTCCTAGGAGCTACATTTTGAGCTTAATCTTCTGAATTACACAGGATTGGTAAATTAGGTAAAAGAAAACATTGCCGTTAAACTCAAGGTACGAAATTATTATACATTGTTTTATGTATCTTTATATAAAAAGTTACAAGTAGCAAGCATATGACACAGAAATGGAACAGTAACAGCAATAATTGTGAATGCATGCTTTTTACAATGTATCTAATAAAGGGATTTTTGCCAACTCAAATATTCAGTAACACACATGCAGATTAATTTCTCAATGTCAAATTCAGCCATATTGCTAGATGCTTATCCAACAAACGTTTCTATTGAAGTTATTATGAATGGCTAAATACCTGATTTCAATAAATTGTTCCTGAAATTGGGAATTTAACTTGCAACAAAAAAGAAGACAGAAAAAGAAAAATGACCGATAAGCATAATAACCAAAGTCTTATTGCCTTCTAGTAATTTTACTCAACACTGTTTGCTGAATTTTGTCATGATATGAGAATAGCTGGTCAGAGAGTCCATAAAACCTCTAGCTGGTGTTTCCAAGGACGATAGTTTCATATTTCATTGTAGCATGTTCAAAATCACCCAGGAGCGCACTATTCTCAAGCAGTCTATATAATGAAAACAATGTACATATAACAAAAGTTCAATGTAAGTCTTCTTCCGCATATCACACAACATACAAGTAAATAACAGACATAAAACACATCAACTGAAATAAAACTATGATTAAAAAAAAAAAAAAGGACAGTCTCAGGAGCTAATTTCTTCTTCAAGTTTGCAGCAAATCTCCATATTATATTTAATAACTAAGGAGCACTTGGTGGCCAGCAATCGAATTACAAAAGAAATATATTATTGTGCAATGGGAATATCTTGCCAAGGAAGTAAGATATGTTTGTACTTCTTAAGTTTGCATAAAGGCAATGAAATGAAATTGGAAATTTGTCCACTCTCTCTTTCAGACAGCTGAGATAATTCATTATAGATTTTTCCATTCAGAGTTTGCATGACTGCATGAATAGTTGTCTGAAACAAAAAAAAGTTAAAATATGTTCTCTCTGTGAGGAAAAAAAATGGAGAAAAATATTTACTTAAACCATCTAGAAGCAATAAACCCATTAATGGATTCTTTCCATGGAAAATTGCTTTATATATATATATATATATACACATACATAAAAATGTATATACACAGATCTGTTTATATATACACATATATAAACTGACAAACTAGCAGCTATGTATAACTCTGAGATTATAGGTATTGAGATTACACACTGATAAAAACAATGCAAAATGAAAAGTCTAGGAAAAGACTCAAGAAAGTAAGTTTAATTTTAAAACATTAACATTAATGCTACAGAATCTCAACATTTATCAGTACTACCACATGCCATTCCCCCCAACACTTCACAAGGTTGTATGCAAAAAACGAACTGAAAACAGGTAATTCCACATCTTACGGACTTGAGTTAAATTGACAAGTTTTATGATTTCACATGCTGGGACTCTAAATTTTATTTTCATAAATAATAATGCTTAAAATAATAAAAAAAAAGAAACACAAGAGCCATGCAAAGCACCCGACTTTATAGCGTGTTTGGAATGAAGATTATATTTAGCTAGGGGCTGATTATAGTACTGCCAAGAAAAAGGAATTAACAGATTTTGCTTAGTTTGCAATGCGAAAGTGGTCATCTGCCTTTTAGTTTTCTCAGTATTCAAACCTGGCTCTCTCCATACAAGGTGACATACAGTTTGAGACCTAATATGTATTTTAGCAATATAACAAACAAAATGAAAAGCAACAGATGGTGAAATTGCTGTATAGGTATGTTTACTTACCTCAGGTTTTCTCTTAGACCCTAGTTGTGTTGTACTCAGATTCATGTTTGCTTAGAGACCCAATGAGGCAGAACCTGGAATGTTATGGCTATTTCATTCAAAATAATAATGTTTGCATAGAAAAAAAGAAATATATGCATATAGATACTTAATAAACAATACACTTTGATAATCTCATCAAGATTTTTGAAGTAATTTACATTGGCATGCAATTAGATTGAAATAGTCAAATAACTTTGTTTTTTAAGAGACAGAGATGCCTTAATGTGCAAAGAAAATATGGAGGGCATGTAAACAGATACAAGAAATGCATAAATAATGCATGCAGGAGAAAACACAAATATATAAAAAAAGACTATGTGTTCTTTTTCAAATAAATTGTTTATAAATGTTTCTGATTTTCTTTTTCTTTTACTTGTAAACTTACAATCATTCATATTCACAGTCATTCAAAGTGCAATATACAGTGGAAATAGCTCTTTTATTAAAAATCTCATGCTTGCCTGCTTTTTTATTGATTAGAAAGATTCCTTTTAACTACATTCTTATGTGTAGATATATGAACTCACTATGCCATCTCATGTTCTATCTATATTATTATGACAAAACAAGATACTGTGGTTAATAATGGAACAGATACAGTAAAGTTTTGAAAATATTGTCATTCATTATATAAAAGGTAATGTTTCATGAGAAAAGGGGTTTCCTTACCCTAGGATTGTGTTCCTCATTTTCATGCCATGCATCAAAATGGATACATGTATTTTTTACTGATGTATTGGCTTAGAGATGCTAAGACCAACAGTGGTTGATACTCAAGGCCACCTCAGTTACAAGGAAACCACATGTATGTGGCTCTTTCAAAAACTAAATTGACACAAAATCGTCTTTGGTTTTTAAAAAATGTGCCTGTTCTTTGTTGACTTGTGTGTTTATATGCATGTGGCTGTGCTTAAAACAGTAAAAGAAAAAGAAAGATAAAGTAGAAAGGTAAAACTGAGATACAGGACCCTTCAGGAAACAGGAGCAAGGATGAGAGAAAGCGACAGGAAGAGAGATAATATTATGGTATGTGCTATCAGGGAACAGAAATTTAAACAATAAATAAAGAAGAAAGAAAATATGTCTTTACTGAATAAAGGGTGAATATGTTTGGGCAATCAAGTCCTTACACAATGGTCTTCATCAAAAATCTATTGATACTGACCGCTGAACAGCTTTATCATGTCTGGACAGCCTGTGACTTGTGGTTGGTACCTCTTCAATTTCATCTATCTCACACGCATCTGCAGCATCTTGTGAGTAGCTATGCTTCATGACAAGGATATTCCTCCTGTTCATGGGCTGAACAAGTGGTTTTACAGGCTGGGGTTGTATTTCTGTCAAGACAGAAGCATCTCTTGTGCTGAGGTTACTACGGCTGCCCTTAATGCTAGACACTTGTGATCCACAGTGATGGTCATGAATGCATTTTGAAGAGGATCTCCGCAGTTTATGATACTTTTCAAAGTCATCTGCAACATCAGCAAGGTCAGCTGTAGTTCCTGTCCCTCTGAGGGTGCATAACTCATAATGAGGAGGCTCAAACACCTCCTGGAACACTGTTTGATCAAAGTCTGCTTTCCTTTGGACAAATTTTTTACGAGGCTGCTTGATCTGTACTACAATAGAGATAACAATGAGGATGACCACAATGCAAGAAGTCACCCCAATTATAGTCCCACTGGTATTGGTAAGCTGGTCCAATAGGTTTGCTTTTCTTTTTTCTGTTTGACAGGAATAAAAAAAGAAAAAAAAAAGAAAGACTGTTAATTGCAGTTCAAGAATAAAAACAACCATGATGGGTTCACAGATTACTGCAAAGCCGAGCCTAGTCTATGTCTGAGTTCACTTAATCAATCTCACCAACAGAAAAGAAAGGAGGAAAAAAATAAGGTATTCGTGAAAGCCACATAAAAAACAACCACGTCCTCTGTGTGCCTATTCACTTTGAAAGTGATTTATTCAGGGTATACTGAAAGCATAATTAAATGAAAGAATTATATACATCTTTTTTTAAAAAGCAACCACTGTAACAAGCAGATGGCTTTAGTGTCACCTCTGAACTCCATTTGCCTGCTAAAGACTGTTACAGATGTTCTCTTCGTTATTTTCTGTCTCTTCCAGTAAATAATGCAACTAGGACATTAGGACCACTGAAAGATGAAGACTTTAAAGGATTTTCAAAAAATTCTTCTTTGCATTGCAAACTGTGGTGAAGTCCTAATATTTGTGAACTGACTGGGATTTTTGGCAGTATTCAACAAAAAAGCTAAATGGGGAGAAAATAGAAAAGTTATTCAAATTGAGGTTTCAGAAAGGAAAAAACAAAGTTGGTGCAAGTTATTTCTTTATTTCTATTAATTACCAAAACTTTTCTAACCACTCATAAAAATCCAAATGCTGATCATACCAAATACTCTTTACTCAGGGGTCTCTAATAAGTAATAAGCAAATTCTGTATTGTGAATGAAGAAAAACAGAAATATGCAGTAAAGTGATAAAACCAGTTTCACCCTATTGTTATGTATCTTTCTGTGTGATTTTCTTTCGAATGTCTGCAGACACATGAGATGTTGACTGAGCTTTGTAGAAATCCAAGCTGAACACATTCACATCAGTCTCTCTCAGCCATAGCAAGACTTGGCAACTGTGATTAAGTTTCAACACCCAGCTTAGTGTATTTTTTCCTGGCAACCTAAAACATATCAGAGGACTTAACAAAAAGCTTTTGAAATGAAAGTTATTGGTCCAAAGCGGTAACATCTATCTCTTCATAATCTCTTAGATACCAAAAATTAACTTGTCAGTGGTCCCCATTGCATACTATAGTAGGTTCACCTGGGGTTTCTCCAACTGACTGACACAGACTGGATAAATAGCAGATTTAGAAAAAGCAACACTGCAGCAAACAATTTTTTTTTTTGCTGGAATCAGCAAACCTCCTTTTTTCTAGTCAGAAAAACAAGAGAGGATAAATGCACAAGACCTGATAAAAGATACTTGGCAAATGAAAGATGAAAATAATTCTGGAAATTATAGAGTGGTGAAGGTTTTCTGTTTTCCTCTGTTCTGAAGAACTAAAGAATGAATAATTATTTCCCAATTGTATGCTTATTTTCTTTGAAGAATATTATGCTATGCCACAGTTTAACTGTGTTCTTTTGAAGTATGTTTTCATTTGTGTTTTACCCTATTGCACTGCTTGTCAGGATTTTACAGGCTTCAGCAGACTTACGGGCTGACTGCTAATCCACCTCATTCTGAGTTTTTTCTTGATTGGTTCCTAAATTTGGCATATCCCATGTTTCCAGGAACAAATCTGCAGCTGGGTAAGGGGGCGTGGTATGTGCAGGAGGGAAGTGAACTGTCTCCTTAGCCTGCAATGTGATAGTTAAGCTCTTCTCCCTGAAGACAACACACATGCTGAAGTGGCTTTTGCCTAAACACAGCAATATTTAGGAACCACTGTCAGCACATAGTTAGGAACATCAGCCCTTACCTATGAAATAAACATTATGCCTGGTTTCCTGTGCTTGTTGCTTGCTCTTCAATTTCATTAATTTTAAGTAGATTTGGTTGCTTTCTTTCAGTGTTAATTCCACTTCACCTTGGCTTTTAAGACCACCTGGGCTATTATGGGCGCAATATGCAGCTAAAAGACATCTGTTACCCATATGTTACTCCACTACAAAGGTAACTGACATAAGAACCAACATATTTCTTTTCACTGTATTTTAGATCATATGGGAAACAGAGACCAAGTGAGCAGAAAGGCTCCCAGAAGCAGATAACCAGTCAAAAGGATGTAACCAACACAAGTCAACACCATGCAAAACAAATACAAACACTGAAAGTAAAATCCATCAGTATTTTTTACCTCACTTCATTTTCTCTATTGCATGACGCATGCTCTCCCTGAGCTTTCACCCATCTGGCACATGCTTAACAAGAAACTGAGGATCACATGCTGTATCTCGTGCAGTGTAAATTACTTGACTTTTTAAATTCTACACATTACCTTTGCAGTGGTTTTCATCCCAGGGATACACACAGTTCTGGAGTCCATTGCAGACCAATGTATTATTTATACACATATTACTGTGGCAAAAGAATGTGTTGGCTTCACAAGGGGCTAAAAACAAGAGAGAAAAAGCTGGTGTTAAGTAACAAATTATTCAGCTCTCCTCAACAAACACATCTAGGGTTAGTCATATAATCTGTAATAGGAACTAGCTATACAACACAGGTTTCTTGAGCATATTAAATATTTGGTATGCAGAATCAAGACCGTTCAAGTCACACACTATTTATTATTCTGTGACAAGGGATTTTTTTTTACTTTTCTCTAAGATGAATTCCCTTAGTCTGCCTCTCACGACTGTAGTGGATTGGCTGCCCAGACATTGGTGGGGAGTTACTGATGTGTTATCATCAGTTTTAGTCACAGATCCAAAACACAATACCCTAGAGGCTGCCATGGACAAAGTTAGCTGTATCCCAGCAGATCCAGTGTTAGGGAAGTAATTTATTTTAAAATTTGCTGCTGAAACTCTAGTTTTATAAGAAAACTTGTGTGACTCAAAGAAGGTATGTACTTTAGGGCCCATATCAATGGTGCCTGAAAATTTATACACAGAGAAAGTATAATTGTTTTAAAAACCTTTTAGATATAAGAAAGGCTACAGTTAAAAAGTACCCTTTTGATCATAAGTATGAAGATAAAAACAGCAACAGTCTTCAGTGTCCCTGAAGCCCACGATCTAGAAGAATCATGCAGATTAAAGCTGCAGGAAAAGGCTTTACTGATGGCCATATATGATTACTGCAAAGAAGCTGCTTGGAAGTCTTCAGAAGTAACTGTACATGCTGCTAAACTGCACTGTTTACTGAAGTGCTGGGAGATCATTAGGTGTGGGGGTTGTGAAGCTACTACTCCAAAAGATAAATTACTCCTCATACTTCTTTTATTAAAACCAAACCAGAAGACCTTCTGTCATTTACAGTAAGAGCTACAAACATTATCAGTGTTAAATCCATAAAAGTAAACTATTTATGTAAATTTTTTAGATCAAACAACCCAAAAGCATTATTACAATTATTTTTAAGGGAAAGTTAGAAACTAAGATCCTTAACTATTCAGAAAGAAGTTATGATGCTCATAGTATTGATACATCATATTTCATGTTTCCTGGCAATTTTTCTCCTCTGCAACTTTAAAAGCAGTTCCTATGACAACATAAATGCATAGCACAGACACTGGCTCAGAGCAGAACACTACTTTAGTGGTTTGCAAACTAAGGACAGTACAAGCGATTTATGTTGTAGAACTTAATGACTTCATTTATCAAGTCAAGAAATCCACTTTTCAATAAGTGCATAAGTTCAGATATCCATAACTGATTATAATGGCTTATTCAGAGCAGTTATGCTCTGTTAAACAAATAGTAAATGCCATCAAGATCAAAGTACACACCTCCAAATATGCAACCACCCACTCAGAAATAACGGTACACATTCACTGTATCTCTTAGCCAATGCAGAAGACAGAACCAGTCTGGTTCTGTCCACTGTGCAATTTTTTAAAAAAATCTGGTATACCATCGCCTAAAATGCAGTGAGCCTGGCGAGTTAAGTTTGTTACAGAAAGTATTCTACTTTAAACAGGACGGAAAGAACATAGCAGCACATGTGCATATTAGAAAGGGAGGATACTTTGGGACAGTCCTTATCTATATGTTGCTGTGATTTGTGGACATTGAGGGCTGAGCCTAGAGGACACTGTGTCACATCATGATGGGTCACATCATATAGGTAACACATGAAAGCCATAATCATCCTTTCACACTCTGGTTTCAATCCCTGGTTTTGGACAAGGTGAGGATCTTTTGGGACTAGTTCTTTCCAACACACAGAAACAGTCTCATTGCCTACTCGAAGCAAAACAAAGTGAAACAAAAGAAGAGAATTATGGAAAGTGAAACCAAGAATATCTAAATAGCCATCCACTCAAAATACATGGTAGTACGTAGGAAGTGCACAAGAAAATAAGACCCAAATCACAAATGGAGAAAGCAGAAGGAGTGATAGGGGAGCAAGGGGAAAAAAGAAAGAAAGAAAAAAAATCAAGCAAAAAAGGGCAAAAAACCTCCAAAAACAAAACCAAAGTAAAAAGATCCCACCAAGAAAACCCCACCAAGTGCAGGATTAGGATATTTTAGGCTAATAAAGCCACAAAATTTTTTTAAAAAAAGACCAAAACACCAAAAACTATGCAGAGAAGCAAGAAGGACCTTAGAAGTGAAGTGAGTTCTGTGTCTGAGCAGGCAGAACCTCCTAGATGTCTATGACTGGCTTTTGTAATTTTAAAATCAGTGTGATTTAATCCTAAATGCAACAGCAAAGAAAGGATTAAAGTTTAAAACAAATCCCAAAAGAAAAGAGGGTAGTTTAGTGGAAGGAAGGACAGTTGTGCAAGGCAGAAATAATGGAATTCAGAAGTACAATGGTAGAAAGTAGAAAAGGAGAACTAAAGGAGGGTAGTAAGGAAGTGAAAGGAAGAGGAAGAAAGACAGAACTGCACAAGAAAAAACAGATGTCACTTAAGGCATTCTGCATTGAAAAGAATTACAAGAGATTTTCTATCAAATGAATATTAGGAAATGCTTCTGAAATAAGAGAGGAAAAGTAAGACCTGTGCAAATGACCTTCTACAGATTTAAGAAGGGATAATTATGCAAAGAGATGGCAGGGAGATCAGGAAATGAAAGGCAAGAGAAAGGAAGAAAAAAGAGTGATATTTTCAGTTTTTCTAAATTGTATTGTTGAACTGTGGAGGAAAAAATTAGTATGTGAAAAAATGTCAAACCAAGATGAATAGCGAGGCAAAGCAATTTCAGAGCAAGTACAGCAAACTTAGCATGAGAGAAACTCAAATGTAAGATTCAGAAAACTAATGACAAACAGCCCACTCTTGTCCATCTTTATAAAATAGTCAAGTCCTCTTGGTGGTCCCATGAACCTGGAGCAACGGCTGGACAAGAAATCAATATATTTCCCCCATTCCAATTATGAGTTCTTGTTGGAATGAATGACAGCATCAAAGGAAGCTGACATCTTGTCAGTCCCATTGCACATTGGAGGAATTAGTGCCCTAGAAGAGGCACAGCAAGGGGGTCTTGGGATGCTGCATGAAGGATATTTTAGTACTAGCAAAAAGACAAATGAACTGGTACTGACTCTTTTACAGCAAGGTCCTGCTGGAGCTGCTATAGAACCCAGAATGGCAGTGGAATCAAGCAGTCACGGTATGAGACAGGTTGTGGATGATTTCACAAAAGGAAGCTAATTTTATCATTAGCTTCAACTAGATAAAGCAGTACAAATGTCTCCACACAGCAGAAGCCCTACTCTATCCTCTACAGTCTTCCCCATGACTGTATAATCGCCCTTTATGTGAGAGAGCAGCAG